TCCCTCAGCCTCTCCTCGTAGTGGAGATGTTCCAGTCCCCTCACCATCCTTGTAGCCCTCCGCTGGACTCTCTCCAGTAGCTCTTCATCTTTCTTGAACTGGGGAGCCCAGAACTGGACACAGTACTCCAGATGAGGCCTCACCAGGGTAGTGTAGAGGGGAAGGAGAACCTCCCTCGTCCTGCTGGCCACACTCTTCTTGATGCACCCCAAGATCCCGTTGGCTTTCTTGGCAGCCAGGGCACACTGCTGGCTCATGGTTAACCTGTCGTCCACCAGGACACCCAGGTCCCTCTCTGCTCTCCAGCAGGTCCACCCCAAGCCTGTACTGGTGCATGAGGTTGTTCCTCCCCAGGTGCAGGACCCTGCACTTGCCCTTGTTGAACCTCATCAGGTTCCTCTCTGCCCAACTCTGATGTGTTGATGTGACTTCCACAACCCGTGAGGGACTTGTTCCTCGTGCAGTCACAGTCTTTCAGTGCTCTTCTGGTTTATTCCTTTAATTTTTCTGTCATCGTATTTATTTTTCACTGCAGTAGCTTCTCTTTTATAGTCAGATAAAAGAAGCTTATTAAAGTAGTTTGTTAAAACGGTTCATTTAGCTTTTCCCATCTCTCTCTACATCTATATGAATTAAAGTAATTTATTAATTGCTTTAATTAAGGTTGTAATTTTCTTTTATTCCCTGCCAGAAAGATGAAAGCTTTAATAAGCTACTAGTATTTTTAGGTAGGTTCTTCAATGGTTTTCAAGTCAAATCTGCAAATGCTCCTGCTGATGGAAGAGACCGCTGCTTCGACAGAGACACGCTGCTTGCTGACTGAATACCAGGTCAGCTTCTGAAGTCTCAAAATCTCACCAGTTTTGTCTGTGTCTTCAAAAAAAGAAGAGTACTTAAAAGAGTTTAGGAAAGTAGCTCCTTTTAATCTGCACTGGTTCCACTGGCGCTAATTTGCATTTAGCCCCATTGGCTCCTAAGTGTCTCTGGAAATTAGGCTATAGCTTTATAAGGACCCTTGGGTGCTTCTGAAAACGCCTGCCTCGTTCAACAAACAGCTCGTTTCAAGGGAGACGTGGCCCAACTCCTGCTTCAACCCGTCATTTTGCTGAAGTGCCGAGGGGCAGAACCAGGCAGTCCCAGGCACGAAGACTTACGTCTGTAGACTGGTCTCCAGCGTAGTGCCATATGTCATCGATCATGCTGGTGAGGAGGTTGAGGCTGGACGGGATGTTATGTGGGAGCAACAGGATGCTCAGAGCCTGCGAAGGAAACGCACTGATAAACGGGAGGGTGAAAGAGAGAAGGACATAGCATTAAAGCCGCCCAACAATGCTCTACTCTGTCATCTTTTCCCTGCTGCTGTTGACTCGCCTCCAGCTCCCAGGGACAAGTCCTCCCAGCTCGTTTCAGCTAGCACCAGTGTTCCCAAGCAGCAGGCTTTGCAGGGAAGGTACAGGGTGGCAGCTGCGCTCCGGCCCCAGCCGGTACCGGAGCCCAATGCTCCCCGCTCAGCTCGAACGCCACCATGTAGTCTCTCCCGAGCTGCCTCTCCAGGCACAGAAAGGCAGCACAGGCTGAGCTCCCTACGGGCAGGGAGTCAAATCTCTCATGTCTCTGAATTTGGCTTTGAACTCAAAGCAGCTAACCGAGGGCAGAACAGCCAGCCGTAATGGCCCTGCTGAGATCCTGCAGCCTTTGAACGTAATAACACAATGCCAGGAGAGTCACAAACCACCCACATCCTTCGCAAGACAAGTTATGCTAATCTGGAACAAAAACCTGAATCCCATCTTCCCTCTCTGCAAGGAGCCCTGCATTCAGCTGCCCAGACGCCAGCAGTGATTCTGGACAACAGAGGCTGGCTTTGCAGCGATCTTTGCAGCCCAAGGTTGGGAAGTCTTTGCTTGTCACTGAGGCCACAATTCAATTCCCTTCCCACCCTAGGAAGAAAGGCTTGTGACTTAAATCTGAATTTGGAAGCACGGAGCCCTCTCAGGGCACAGAGCTATCCTCAGGTTGCCGAGGGTTTGTCATCTGCACACTAGGCCAGCAGTTTCATGCAACAAAGCCATAGTTCTGCATTTCCAGGCATCAGATGATACCGGTGCAACTGGAACAACACTGCAAGGAGCCCGACTTGCAGTGACGCTGCAAACAGGGCTGTACCGAGACACTGGTTATCCTTGGGGTATCCCAGATGGGTGGAGTGAATGGTGGAGGTTTGCCTTTCCGGAACCACGAGAAACAGTTGTTCTAAGGACACCTTTAACTGCCTTCTTCCGAGGGTGCTCTCTTCTTGAAGGGTACACATCATTTGAAACCAGGAAGGGTTTCGTTTACAGCCTTGAACTACTCGGGTAGAGAGACTACGCTGAAGGCCACAGTGTGTTTAAAATACACGCAAAAAAAGAGACAATCATGATATTCATTTTATACCTGGGGCCATTTCTCAATATATGGAATCAGCATCCTCAGTCTGGCTTCTACAGCATCTCTCAGGAACTGATCTGTAGGCTTCTTCCTGGGTGAGGAAAACAAAATACAAATATGAAGAATATCCAAGTTAAACTCGATTCTGAATTTCAAAGATCGATTTCTTGCCTGCCTCAGCAATAGATAGGAGAAATATTACGTATCCTTTACGCCTCTGGTCCAACTCTGTATCTGGGCAGGTGGTTTTATTTGGGTAAATCAGTTTTTTACTCAAAGTGTTGGTCTCCCGTGTGGCCTCTCTGTCTATCCAGTCCCCAAAGCCTGCCAAGGAAGATGTCTTTTCATACCCAATACTCACTCTGCTTCGCCCAGCTGCACCAGTTTTTGTTCCTGCTCCAGCAGCTCAGACAGCTTGGTGTTGCACTGAGACACAAAGTGCAGGATCAGTTCACTGCCATCACTGTGAAACATCCCTGCGGCCGCAACGGAGAGACCCAGGGTCTGCCGGGAAGAAGGGAGAAGCATACACCGGGTCATACGCCGCTAAGCTGGATCCAGCTAGGAAATACGTTGTATTTATATTGTGAAGGAAGTTATATGGAATTAAACAAAGCAACGCTGCATTAAAAAGCGCTTCCTGTACGTGTTTTCCTCTCTTTGGGGTCACTACTCTACCTCGTGCCTTAGTTTAACTCTGACAGGGTTACCCTGGAGCAGCTGGGACGTGTTCCTGCCCGGTACCATCTGCTGACCAGGGTGCATCGCCCAAGAGTATGTGGGGGAAGCATGCAGGCCTGGCTGTCTTTGGACTTCAGCTCCATCCAGTTGTCAACTGGTTTGTTGCTTCTCTCCCCACATACCTTGGCTCCCTCTGCAATGGCTTCTGCAGTCCAGCCATGTTCGGGCACAAACTCCAGCGCTGCTGTGAGGATTCGGTGCTGCAGCTGCTCCTCGCTCTCATAGTCCTCAGACTCCTGGCCGCCCTGGCCAGTGTAACTATGAGAAGGTATTGGTACAGTGAGGGGAACATCACCGCCAGACATCAGCAGCCTGGACTCTGCCACTCACTCGCTGCCACCGCTGCGGGCAGGCACGCTTTGAGATCTGCTTAGTATAAATCTCGCTGCCTCCTGTAAAATCCTCCCCTTTCCAGAAAAAGGGATTCTTAACCAACCTTTCCCGTGAGAGGAGAAAAATAAGGGAGGGCTCAATTTAGGTGCCTGCCTGGAGACCAGTCAGCCTCACGTTCCCCCTCCTTTAAAAAAACAGCTAAACTATAAGCTTTTCCAACGGGGGCTTTACAGTTACAGGCATAGGGACAACATATTGTCCACATCTTGTGGGGATTTACACAAAAATCCAGCAGCGAAGGCTTGCGCTTTGCAGACCAGAGAGGTTCCCACTTGAAAGCAAGTCCCATTCTGCCTCCACGGCAGAGCTCCCCGGCTGCTGAAGTCTGAGGCTCCATTAACTCGGGAACTCGTTGTCTCCGAGCTTCAGATGCGAGTTTCGGGAAAGCAAAGCCTTCCGATCTCACTGTCGGCAGGACAGTGCTTAGAAATGGTTAGTGAGTTACCTGGGGCGAGGGCCCTGAGGTTCCTGTTCAGGCTGGTGATCGGCTGGATGCGAATCGAACTGCTGCTGGGAGGAAGATGCCAAGGGCTCCTTCTTCTGCTCGTCTGAGACTCTCCTCAGCACGGCCGAGGCCTGGAGAGCACGCCATGGTGGGGAGAGCTGGCACCTGGCCACTGCAAGGGAAACCAGGAGAGTCAGATGTCTCCTTCCAACAGCAGGAAGCAAAGAAAATTACAGTGAAGAAAAGAGTTGCAGTAAACACCGCTGAAAGGAACAGAAATTTGCAGACAGTCTATTTTTACACTTCTCAGAAGCGCCGCTCTCAGCCGAGCTCACATTTACTCGACGAAAATAAAGTGAAAATGTTTTGTGAGGAAAGGAACGGCGCGGACTGCAGACAGGAGGGAGCTTCCCAGTCTCGCACTGGAAACCAGGCACACAAACGTGCCCTGCCTGCCCCGCAGCAGGCCCTCTCCCCTTTTCGGTCCCCGATGGAGGGGTGAGTTGGCAGGAGGTGCCGAGCCCCAAGCTCGGGGAGAGTCATACAACAGGGACCGAGTCATACAACAGGGACCGAGCTGTCCTAATGGCTACGATATGTCGGTCACGGCTACGACACGCTGGTCACACTGGTCCTAATGGCTACAACAGGCCGGTGACGACATGCGTTTCTCAAGGGACTCAAAGGCAACGCAGCTTTCAATCACGGCTGCCCTGTGAGAAGTTTTCATTTAACTGCAGTGAATTTTGGGTGGGTTTTTTTTAATAAGCTGGGGTTGCACAGCCCACACTTTAAAAACCCCCCACGACCAGACACCCCCAGCCAAGCCACCCCTCTCCGGTTCCCTCACAGGACGGGTGTGGTTTCAGGGCCGGGGAGGCACATGGGGCTGGCGGGGCACCGAGCCCTGCGCAGCCTCCTTCGCCCAGGCACCGCGCACCCC